TTGAGATCAATTAGATAAGAGCTTTCGTGCTTTTACTTTTGACCAAGGTTGTGAGTATCTATTTGAGTTGTTTTTTTTAGAAAGCTCTGTAAAGAGAAATGAATGTGATGTAGGACAAGATTTTCAGGACAAGATTTTAAGAATTTTTATGTTTTTAGTTTTGATATATTATTAGGATTCTTGTAATTTAGTATAAATATTTTAGGATTATTAGGTTTCTTAATTTTATTATTTTGGAAATAGATTTTGACTAGGATTTTAAATAGTTGAGAATTATAGTTTCCTATTCTCTTAGGTTTTCTAATTTGTGATGATTTAAGTTTCCTAGTTTTAGAATTATTTTTCCTACAAGTATTAGGTTTAGTTTATTATAAATAGCTATGTAAGCCTCATGGCAAAGACAACTTTTATACAACTTTTATTCATTCAATCAATAATATTAAGATATTTTCTTTTCCTTGTGGATTCAAGGTTCTATTTTTCTCATAGATTCGAGAGCCCCATTTCATCTACTAGAACGATATCTAGTCCCCGTATATTCCGCTGCGTCAGAATGCTTAGAAAATTGATTATTCCTAGTACTCAGTAACACAATGATGTAGTAGAGATAAGGAATTAAGTATTGTTTATGTTAGGTGGATGATGGCGCAATATGTTTCTTAATTGGGAATTGCACTTTAGTTTGTTGCCTATATCCTTAACTTAGTGCCCTCCATATCAGGTTTTACACTCTATTTTGAGTAATGGGTTAGTGGAGAGCCATCTATAGGTGATCTGTAACCATCAAGCAGCTTATCTTTATTTTACTTCTCATAAGATTGTGAAGTTAAGACCTAGACTTCTATGGCACATTATTGTATGCTGTCTTGTAAAAGCTTAGGGCCATGTGGCGCATTATTATATGCAGTCATGTAAACCCTCTGGGTCATGTGCTTATAGGTAAGCAGCTTTGTGGGAGTGTAACTAAGTCACATAAAGTTTTCTTAGTAAAGGTGATGTGAATAGAGTTTTGGAACTCTATAAAATAGAGAATTCTAAGTATAGCACTTTGCATAGCTTAGTTGAGAATGGAAAGAAATTTCCAATATCCTAGGGACAGTGGGATCAATGTGCCTACTAGTGGATTACTCCATTAGAGAAAAATTCTTTACATTCTTAGTTACGTGATAGCAAATGCGAAAATTTTCCGTGTCATCACTAGGTGATTGAGAGGGAAACGTTCATGATTGCTTCGCAAGATGATAAAGAGCCTAGGATAATGCCGAAGGCTCTCTAGTCCCCTACTATTAGAAAAGTGGATCAATGTTACGTAGTTTAAGACAAAGTCTTTGAGGATTAACCATTTCTAGGATTTGGTTGACTTTCCATTATGATGCGAAACTATTCTAAAGTTATGCGTAATTTGAATAGTCTCCTTTTAAGGCATAAGGCTTGCTAGATACCGAAAAGTCGCACCATTGAGAAAGGTGTAGACCATGAGGAGACTTTCTCCAGAGGAGTGAGGTTACTTCGACTTAGGCTATGATTGACATAAGTTTGGAATATTGATTTGTGGACGTTGTGACTCAACTTCTTATTGGAGAATTGGATAAGTAGATTCGTAGGAATTTGCCTTCTATTTTTATGATGAAAAGATTGGAGCGTAAAAAGATTGCTAGTTCCAATAAATTTTTTATGGCTTAAAACAGTTATCCAAATAGTAGTTCTTAGATTTTGTCTAGCCATGATAGGCCAACGATGATCGATGAAGACCACTGAGGCATGATCAATGGTCCAAAAGAAGTTTTTCCTTAGTCATTATGAGCCAGGAATTTATAAGGTTGTCGCCACCTAGGGCTGGCAGTCCTTTGTTTTAGACATGATGGACATGGGTGATGTAATTTATATGCTCGAATGTATGTTCCTTAGAGATTGTTCTGGGAGTATTCTCAGTTTGTATTTAATGACTTACATAAGGAATATTCTAGAATGATTCTAGATGCAAAATCGCAAACCCATTGACTTACCTATAGGTAAAAACTAGAGCCTTAGCTATTGAGTGAACCCTCGGATTATCTTTGGGAGAAACAGATGACCCATATTTCTTGACCTTTTGTTGTGGGAGCCTGAATTACGCTATGTGGGTGTATTCGGCATAATGAGTGCTATCATTTGTAAATGGTGAACTGAGTAGTTTAGACCTTGACCTTGCTCATTAGACTATGGATATAATGCTTTACTGGTAATATATCTATTTGCCCTTTATAAGGTTCAATGGGCTTGTTGGGCACATCTTGAATGAACGCAAATTGGTCACCAAAATATATTTAGAGAGGTAATTGCGTAAGAAGTAGTGATCTTAAACCACTTCATGTGAAGTGCACATGGTGGATTCTGTTGTATATGCTTATTGCAAGAGGTGCTGATAGGGCTTATGCTTGGAATCTAGAATTGTGTAGACTGTGGTCGTGTTTTTAAAATCGATCATTTATTTATTGTGAGATGATGAGATGTTGATACTATTATGGTTTGTGTCATAATGATTAGCAGATGATGATGTCAGCAGGCAAGATTGGCTCACTCACACGAGCAATTGCCTTTGGAGCTTAGGAGCCAGCAAGGATAAAACTAGTGATTTATTTTTATTTGAAGCCAAGAAAGACTTAAATTATCCACTATGTATGTCGCGTTGGTTACTACCAAGATGAGGTCGTGTTAAAGACCAAACATGGATGTTAGTACCCACTTTCCATGTTGTGCTTGTTATGATTAGCCAAATGCGAGATCTCATTTGGCGCCTAGAAGGCGAGCAAATAAAGAATTCAGGTTAGGCGCTAGAAAGCAACTAGACTAAGATCTGTACGGTGTATCGAGTATGATGTCACTCTTTGGAAGAGTTACTCCATCGTAGCATGTATTCATGCTACATGTGCTTGGCGACCGAGTAATGAGGTGAGAGAATGGATCCCTATTTCCTCACCGTGTGAGTCTTACGTGTCATTACTTATATGACTTTTACTTATGTACCCTTTTGTGACCTTTGACTATTTCATAAGGCAAGAGGTTGATGTTCTGCTACTTTGATATGTTGTCTGCGGTCATGTATGATTTGGCCTTAAGGGACATCACTGGGAAAACGGTTAATTCTAAACTAAATGGCATGAGGGCGAAGGGAAGATCATCTAGTATTACACCACTGTTGTATATTCACTGCCGACAACTCACATCGCTCTATATGAGAGGCATATTGAGTGTGAATATATTGCAAGAATGGATGAGGGTCAAACATACTCTTTTGAGGAATTAGAGATATTTTTTGGACCAGTGTAATTAGATGAGTCTGGGATATGTGAGACACTATTTCTATTCTTTTTGGGTTGATGTCCCTATGTTGGCTCATTTTGAGTTTCTAGTATAGAGCTCCCACATGCAGGTGTTCTCAACGGTTGCACGGTTCATTGGCTAGTATGGGATTGTTCAATATTTGGGGAGATTGAGATAGAGATGTGGCAGTGTCATGCCAACTCATGTGCGAGTGGGAGATGTTGGAAATTGGGCCGGGTATTGGACCTGGATTTGGGCACCCATGTGGCATGACCCATGGCTCATTCAAATTACTGATGTAATTTGAATTTGATTTCTTGATTATCCTATTTGTTAGGATAACCCACTATCTATTTATATCTATCCTATGCTTAGGAAATATGGATAGATGGTTAGATATTTGGTCTATATATCAGATACGATATATGGGATGTGGGGATGAATCCAATAACGAATGATTTTTTTCCATTCTCTCTCTCTAACTCTCTCCTATTAGAATAACGATCAAGCCTTTGCATTGTGACTAGTGTAAGTGATACTCATACTGTGGTATCACTCTATGGCTGGGTATTCTTAGTTCGTGGTTTGTGAAACACATGATTTACCCACAAGGTTCTTCGTTTTGGATTTTATCACCTAAGGTATGGTTTGTTTTTTTTTACCCGCTGCGTTATCTGTATCTTACAAACTTGTTTGTTTATTCAGTGTTTTTTTTCTTTCTTTCTTGTATGACTCTCTAGGGTTTTACTTTTATATTTTGTATTGGGTTGCAATCAATTCCCTCAGACTGGGTTGGTTTATAAAATCAGTGATATATAGAAGTGTGATAGCTCACACTGATGGAGTTGTGTGCGATACATAATATAGTAGTATAGAAGATGTATGTATGTGTAGGATCTTGTTTAGAGCTTAGTTACTCTTGTGGATTTTCAAGATTGTCTTATGTATTTATGTAATCTTTGAAATCATCCAATTAGGCACCTATAGACAAATATTGAACCTTTAATTTTTTTGATTAGAGTCTTTCCACCACTGATTGGTTTTCATTAGCATCTAATGAAATCATCCAATGTAGTTGAATTTCGAATTTTTTTGGCATTTGACTGTAGCAAAATAAATAAATAAATTTGAATTTTTGTTTGTTGATGAATAAATGTCTTGAATTAAAGACAAATTTCATTGATTTGTCTTTGAACTGTAGTGCCCAATTGTCACACAATGAAAAATGTCTTTTTTTTTTAAAAAAAATAATGTGTATTGAAATGATACAATGTAAAATAGATTAAAAGTTGGCTTTTGATTTTTAACCATATTTCTAAAAGTGGCCTTAAACAATTAAGCACCATAATGTGATACAATTAAATACTATGTTGAATGTGACACAATTGTGACTTTGGACAGGGAATATCAACAGACAGGATCATTGATGTTCGTCGGCTATTGTCTGTGAACACAATTACTTGTAGTATCACCAATTTTTCATTATCCCATGAGGTAATTCTAGTAATAATGTCAAATTATCTATGCTTTTTCAATAATTTAGCTAAGGATAATGTCATAGAAATAAAATTTCTATCTAAAAAAAAAATTTATATGAAATAATATAATTTCATTTTAAGTCAAAACATTAATTAAGTTGACTTAGAATTATAAAAATAACATTATCATACTTTTATATTAATAAAATTGTTCACAAATCATTTTTCTTTAACAAATACTGAGATGCCAGGAGCACCACATAAAAACCTGTTCCCAATATATGGTGATCCATCTCCGAACAGCGTATCAAAGTGCATCCCTTTTGGAATTTCACCACTCAAATTGTTGTAGGACAGATTCAAGTATGATAGAAAGTCTAATGATGCCAATGCCATTGGAATCGACCCACTCAAATTGTTGAAACTAAGGTCAAGTGACTCCAACTCACTCATTTTACCTATGCTCATTGGGATTTCACCATATAGACTGTTACGTGAAAGATTCAGCATAAACAGGCCTTCAAGAAGGCCTATTTCAGGTGGAATCAGTCCTGTCAACAAATTGCACGAAAGATCTATCCCACTATTGTCAGTGAAGATCACATCAAGTTCATATGGTAGTCCTTTGATCACAATGTTTAGATCAACACCACTATACATAAATGAGATGATGCGGCCTATAATGTTTCTTCTAGGCCTGCTTGTCAGCATCTTAAAGCATTGCAATTTATCAGGGATGGCACCAGAGAGTTTATTGTTGGAGAAGCCAATAAATTGCAAGTCCCATAGATTGTTGATCTCTTTTGGGATTGACCCGTTGAACGAGTTCCATTCCAACACAAGGATTCGGAGCTTTTGAAGATCTCCGATGAAACGTGGAATATTTCCTTCGAATTTGTTATTTCCCAGATTCAGGACTTCCAGATTTTGAAGCTCTCGAATGAAAGTTGGGAACGGACCGCTAAAATGATTTCCATTTAGTTGTAAAAATATCAAACTAGTTGCAGCCTTGAGTTCATTGGGGATGTTTCCCCTGAGATTATTCCTAGCAAGGTGGAGAGAAATGAGGGACGTACAGTTGCCTAGACCTGCAGGGATTGTCCCCGACAGGCTGTTATTCGATAGATCGATGAGCATCAGAACATTGTTTGTATGACAAAAGGAGAGGGGGATAGGTCCAGAGAGCAGGTTACTTGAAAAAGATAAGTACTTGACATTTTGAAGCCCTCCAACTTGGATCGGTATACCACCTGTGAAATTGTTCCTGGATAAATCAACGGCTTCTATGGTTTCTGGAAGGAAAGGAATAGGCCCTTCCAAGTGGTTTCCTGCTAAGTTCAGTGTTGTTGGTCCAAAAAATTGTTGAAGCCGAATATTAGGTGGGACAACTCCTTGCAGATTGTTGGAAGAAAGGTCCAAGTACCCCAGCATGGGAAGGTTGAGCAGCCAAGATGGTATTGTCCCCGACAGGTTGTTATCCGCCAAACTTAGGTACTCAAGATTTGTCAGATTTGAAACAAAATCCGGTATGCCTCCCCCTATACTGCATGAACTCAGGTCCAGCTGGATTGGCTGAAAGTTGGGTGAAAATGGGTATCGGCCAATTTTTACAGTTAGCCCACTTGATCCCAGGCCAATCATAGATGGACTGGAGTTTTGGAACAACCACATCAATGAAGTGATAATACCGGTTATGTTATTTTCACTAAGCATAAGAACACTGAGGTTGGTAAGCCGGCGAATGCAATCAGGTAATTCCCCTGTCATTTTATTGCTTGCTAAATGTAGATATTGTAGGGAGGAGATTTGACATATTGAATCTGGGATGTGTCCTTGTAGAGAATTTTGGAATAAAGACAAGTATTGAAGGCTTTGTAAATTGGAGATTGATGAAGAAAGATTGCCTGTAATGTAATTGAAATTGAGAATTAAGTATTCTAGTTTTGACAGGTTGTACAAGGAAGAAGGTATGGGTCCATGAATTGAACAACTCTCTGCTGAAAAATACAACAACGAAGACATGTTGGCAATGAAAGTCGGAATTGATTCATTAACATGATTTAATCCAATATCTAGTATCTCTAGATTGCCCCAAGGGGCTCTGAACATTGAACTCAGATCAATAGTGATGCCAGGGTTGTTGCTTATGTGAAGTTCTCTCAATTGGGGAAGGTAAGGGAGAAAACCCTGTAAGTTAGAGCTCGAGAGATCGAGGATCGAAAGAGAAGTGATATTTGCTAGCTGTGTTGGTATTGAGGAGGTTAGGAAGTTGTAGTCCATTTCGAGAGAAGAGAGTTGAGTGAGGTTAAGAAAATCATTTATGGGGAGTTTGCCAACAATTTCACAGTCGGATAGTTGAACGATTTTCAGTTTGGAAAGCATTGATATCGGTTTAGCCCATTCACTTGACTGAGATGCCACTGATAGATCAACACCGCTCAATTTTAGTACTCTAAGATTGTGAAGCCCCATTAACCAATTCAAACTTGAGGAGGAAATCTCGCCACTTTTGATATATGACAAAAGAGAACCAGCATAGGATTTTGAGGAGGTCAAGTTATATGAAATGGATGATGTGTCAGGTACTAAATACGAACATGAGAGATCGAGCAATCTCAGTGATGTGATGTTTGCAAACTGAGTAGTAATCGTGTCTTTGAACATGGCATTGGAAAGGCTGAGGTGGGTGAGTTCTGTGAGATTGGACAATCCAGTGGGTATCTTGGAAAACAAGAAATTGTTGAAGCTAAGATCAAGATAACGAATACGACTAAGGGTAAAGAGAGATGGAGAAACTGTACCTTCCAGAGCAGCATATGTAACATTATTGGAAGTTGAGACTAGTTTTGAGTTTGAGTTAAGAATGAGGCTCCCTGGATTAGGATTCGTGAGATTCACAACGATGACATCGTTCGAGTCTGAACAGCGAATTCCATGCCAGAAGCAGCAGTTTTTGCCTTGCCACGAAGCCAACCGATTCGAAGGGTCTCTAAGGAAGGACTTGAAACTCAAGAGAGCAGCTCTTTCATTGTCATGGCAACCAATAATGCTATTCAGATCAGAAAGAAGGAACAGGAGAAGAGCAAAAAAGCGAGTATGATGCTTCATAGCCTTGTGATGATTTATCCTTGTCTAAGCTGTGTCACATATAAGCAAGGTATTTTTCAAAATTTTAATCTTCGAATATACGTGTGGTGCACATCATATGATTATACAGGTGTTACATATTGGTTTATTTGATTCTAAATTTTCTTGATTGAAATCATTATATTGATTTAGTCAACAACTTGGACATTATATATTTATTGTTAGAGTACTATTATATATTAGTCATGCTTGATATGAGTAGGTAGATAAAACAAGAGGCATTTGACTTGGATCTCTTCTTCCTTCTCATAAATGTTATCTATTCACATCGTGTATGTCATCTGTTTACATTATTTTATTTTTTATGCATACTCAAAATTATCCCTTATTTTATGGTATTTTGTAGTTAATTTATACAAAAATCTGAAGCATTGACTTTGACTTCAATATTCTGAGTGGCTAAAAAAACATGCCATGTGTTTGGGGTCCTTTTCATTTAATTTTATGCTTAGTTCGGAGTTGGATGACTTTTATGTGTGTGGGTTGATAGAGAAATTATGTGTAGAGGCCTTTATTACTGTATGTCATTCATTAACTCAGACTTCATTAAAAAAATTCGCTTTCATTTATATCATATTCATACTAGATGTTGTGCCTTGCCACTTTCGAACCTTCAATCACATGAATTTTACTTCGGTTGTTCATCTTCTAATTACAATAAATAATCCTTCAACTTTAACTTGTATTATAATTCACAGTCGATTGGATTCAATCTATCAATAATCTCCCTCTCCTAAAAGAGTCAAGTTTTAGACTTCCAAATATCTCTCATCCCTCGCTTCCTTTTAATTTTTTTTGTCTTTCTTTCTGGACTTGTTTACTCTTATAACGATCTATCTTTTTCCATATACACTTGGGTGGTTGTTTAACTTTAGTAGTAGCCTTATTGACCTAAACCTTTCTGAAAACTAGTTAATAGGTTCAATTCCTGATTCTTTTGAAGGCATGCTTCCCCTTGGGAATATCTCTCTCTCAGTGACAATCAACTTGATGGTGGCTTTCCAAAATCCTTTGCTAATTTAAGTCATTTACAAACTTTGGAACTATATCCCTGAACAATTTAAACGAAGAACTTCATGAGTTTCTTCAAAAGTTGTTCGGGCAAAGCACTCGTTAACAATCGACTTATTGGTCCATTGCATGATTTTATAAGATTTTCTTTCTTAGGAGGATTGGACCTTCACATGAATCAATTGAGTGGATCCTTCCCAAGAAACTTTTGGCCAACTTCCTAGTAGTCATGTTTATCTGGTATTATATGGAAATCAAATAACAAGGTCACTACCTAACCTATCGATGTTTCCATCATTGGCCCATTTACGTTCTATTTGATTGAGAGATTTAGAAAGGAATTTAAAAAGGAAAAAAGAAAAGGTAAGTGAAATATAAATAAAATATATCTATATTCCGCCTAATTTCACCTACGTTTCTTCTTTCTCTTTCCAAATCTTTTTTTCCTTTCTCTTTCCAAATTTCTTCTCAAATCTCCCAACCAAACACAGTATTACAACTTATGGGCAATCAATTGAATGGAACCGTGGACAGAAATAGAACTTAAAGTGTTTTGATTCCTCTATCAATTCATTAATGCTGTGTTTGGTTGGGGGATTTGGGGAGGGATTTGGAAAGGGAAATGGAAAAGGTATGTGAAACTAGGTGAAATGTAAGTATATTTTATTTACATTTCACCTAACTTTTCCCTTTCCCTTTCCAAATCCCTCCTCAAATCCTCCAACCAAACACAACGTAAAAGGCATAATCTTTAAAAGCCACTTTTCTAATCTCTCCAATCTGAAATGGTTGGGCTTTTTTTTTCAACCGAATTAACTTTTAACTTCAATTATGATTGGATTTCTCCTTTCCAACTTGATGTTATAAAGTTGTCATCCTGTAAGTTGAGGCCACATTTTCAGATTAGTTCTCTCAGCTTGATCTTTTTTGTGTGTTTATTTTTATTTAACAAGTTTCTAAATTTTTTTATTTACAAAACAAAATTTGAAATCTCAACTGAACAGATTTTTTCTTTTTTGTTGGGCAAATTTATGCACTCCTTGGAAAAAAAAAAAGGAATGGAATCATCTTTGATCAATCAGAAATTGTATGAGAACGGAGCCTCTCTCTCATTTTGGGGGATTAACACTTCCTTATAATGTTCTTTCCTCCATTTTTTGTAACCAATGTGTGCACATATCTGAAGGTATAGTGTAAATAAAAATAAGTGAATAAAAATGAGAAAATAAGAATAAATAAATAGGGAGGAAAATAAAAGAGGGAGGGGAAATAAAAAAATTAAAAAGAAAAGAAGGAGAAAGGTGGGATCATAGGATCATTTATGAGATCATGGAAGGATGTGTTAAAAGAAAAAAAAAAATAAGAGAGAGAAGCGAGAAAGTAGAAATATACATATAGGATATATCACAGTCATTATTTTATAGTTTGAATAGATCTGAACCGTCCAAATGTTTTAATAAGACAAAAATATATTGAAGATTTAAAAATCTTCTTACTTTATTATATAGACTAGCGTATGCCCGTGCTTGAAGGCACGGTGTAGGTAATATTAAAATTATAATATAATTGTAATCTCAATACTATTTAAATTTATTTTTTAATTTGATAAAATCACAAATTTATTATAAAATTTTGGAATTCTGACAAAACTCCTCACGAAAACTCACTTTTATTTATATAATATATAGCTAGATAGATAGATGTGCCTAGCATACATACAATTTCCACGGGCATACATACAATATTGCTTTTACTTATATAATTATATAGAAATTGTATGTATGCCCGTAATGTCTTAGTGTATTATGAGCATACATACATTGTATGGAAATATGTGTAAAATATATTGAACAAAAAAGAGAAAAAAAAAATAAATAGAGAGAAAAATAAAAATGGGAGAAAATAAAAAAAAAATAAAAAGAAAAGAGAGATGAAGGCGGGATCATAGGATCATGGAAGGAGGGGTGTGAGAAAAGGAAAAAGTAAGAGAGAGAGAGAGAGAGAAACAAGAAAGTAGAAAATGTATATGTAGAAATTTTTTTAGAAAATATATCTCAGCCATTGTTTTATAATTTGAACAGATTTGAGCCATCTAAATGTCCTAATATGACAAAAATATGTTGAAGAATAAAAAACCGTCCTTCTTTATCAAAATATGTTGAAGATTCATAAGAGATCTAAATTTATGAAGTTTATCAGATATTCAATATATTTAAAAATAATAATTAATTGTTCAAATTCATTTAATTTGTGAACTAAAAAATTCATTAATATAATCTTCACTACACATAGTAAAATCTGGCTCCTAATTCTGGGATTGCAAACTTTTTCATATAATATGAATAAAGATAAGTGATCAAAAAGGAGAAAATAAAAAATAAAAAAAAACAAATAGAGAGAAAAATAAAAATTGGAGAAAATTAAAAAAAAAAGAAAAAGAAAAAGAGAGAAAGGTGGGATCATAGGATCATAGAAGGATAGGTGAGAAAACGAAAAAGTAAAAGAGAGAAGCGAGAAAATAGAAAATATACATGTAAAATATTTTTAAAAAAATATATTTAAGTCGTTATTTTATAATTTGAATATATCTGAGCCGTCCAAATGTTCTAGTAAAACAAATGTTGTAGGACAAACAAAAAGGAGAAAATAAAAAAAACAAAAAACAAATAGAGAGAAAAATAAAAATGAGAGAAAATAAAAAAAATAAAAATAAAAAAAGAGAGAGGAAGATGGGATCATAGAATGATGGGTGAGAAAAGGAAAAAGGAAGAGAGAGAAGCGAAAAAATAAAAAATGTACATATAGGATATTTTTTGATACATATATCTCAGCTGTTATTTTATAATTTGAATAGATCTGAGCCGTCTAAATGTCCAAGTAAGACAAATGTGTGTAAGACAAATTCAAAAATCATCCTGCTTTATTATATATATATTTTATTATTAATAATAAAATACTAGTTTTTTGTCAAGCAAAAAACAAAAAAAAATACACATCTATTAGCTGTGAATCAAAATCAAAATATCATCATGTCATCAATGCATTGCCCAAATAGAAATGATATTCTTGACTTTGGATCTTGTATAATTGTTTTGATAGAATTTCCTCAATTTCCAAAAGTCCATTTCTTAACCATTAAACAGTTTTTCACTACATTTCGAAGTAAAATTTTCAACAGATGGTTGGAGTTGGTGAAATTATAATCATATTGATTGCTAATCAATTGCATTGCTTCATTTTAATTTTTTTATTTATTTAGAAAAGTTATGAAGCTTTCACATAATAAAAATTAATATTATACAAAATAATAAAAAGAAAAATAACATAGCCCAAAGGACTATACAAGAAACTCTACAGAAACTATGACAACAAACTACAAAATTTGCCATAAAACTAGCAGCGATTTGGGGAAAACTACCAGTTTTCTCATAGATGTATTTTGAAAAAATAAAATCTATATCTAAAACAAGATCTTCATTATTTCAAGCTTCCAACGAATTGAAACAGATGGATAGGCAGTTGGCATGGGTTTTGAGAATTTTCAACTCAACAAGTTACAATACAATTGTTCAAAAGCACATTGTTTGGTTAAATTTTAAAATATTTTTTTTTTTTTTTTGTCAATTTTACTGATAAAAATAGGCAAATGGTTTAGAAAAAAATTTAAAAAATTAGAGTTTAAATTAGCAAAATTAAAAATTTTATAATTTTTTTTACAAGGTAAAACTCTTGTTTGGTTTAGTTTTTGAATTATGATTTGAGTTTTGAGTTGTATTTTGAATTTTGAGTTTTTGAAATGAGTTTTGAAAAGTGAAAAAACTTGTTTGGTTATGAGTTTTGAAAAGAGTTTTGGGTTTTGAAATGAGTTGAATTTTTATTATTAGTGCTTTATTAATTTTAGATTTTTTTTTCTATATTTTAGTTTTTTTCTTTTTTTTTAGATGTATCTAATCTAAATATATTTAAAAAGTAAAAAATTTTGTGAAAAAATTTAAAAAGAATTCAACAAATACAAAAAATATGAAAATATTTTATTTATTTTTATTATTTTTTTTTAAAAAAAAAATTGGAAGCTAAATTCTGAAAACTTAAAGCAAATAGCGGACTGTACTTGCCCAAAAAAAAAACAACTTAATTTAATTTAAGTTGGTCCGCGTTTAACATAATTTTGGCCCCAATAAATACAGCCCAAATTAATGGGCCACCTAGGCACAGAATAAGATCTTATTTCTGTTTGGAGGCCAAGAAAAGAAAAGAAAACAAAACAAAACAAAACAAGCAGCGGCAGAGTACCACTCCAAGGATTTCGAGTGGGATCAACTCTGACGATAAATCGAGTCCGACCCTTCTCTTCTCTACCAAGACTCAGACGCCTGGAACAAGTTTCACTCTCGTCACTCCTCCGGAAAATTCTTCAAGGTTCAATTCAACTTCTTCCACATTTGAATGCAATGTGAAGGGCTTTTCAATCCCAATCAAAGACTGATTAGGCCGCCACCATTTTTTTGTGAAAATTCTTCTTTTTTTTTTACATCACCAACGAAATCAATGAGAGCTAAAGAAGATTCATCAAACTTGTGTGCATCAAAATTGATTTTCAGTTTCGACATCCTCGAAACCCTGACGGTGGTTCTGCTCCCTCCAAATGCACCACATTACTCACATGAGAGCCATTATCCAGGGTTTCCTTTGTTTGAAGATTTTTGCATGTCTAATACTGGAATTTGATTTTCGGATGCAGGAGAGGCGATGTTTGTTGAGGGAATTTTCTGAACTATTGTTTTAGAATATAAATATTCTAAGGTTTTGTAGGTGGGATGTGGAAATGGCAGTTCCATATTCTACCAATATTTTTGTGATTCTTAGAGTTTCCTTTGTACCATTTGGCACTGATGTTATAAATTTTCAATTCTTGAAGTAATTCCTTTGAATTATTGTACTAGTTGAGATACTCTTAAGATTAATGTTTTACTAGTTTATGGGCTCCCTCATTTGAACTTTCATTAACCATGGTTTCTGATATGAATAAAGCTGAACCTAGGAATTAATTTGGAATTAGATGTTTGCAAACCAAAGGGGATATCAAAGTTCAGGTTTCTCCTATTTAAGAATGAACTTGGTTTCTCCTTTGCAATCTGTGCTAAGTTTCCCAAATAAGAAAATCAATTCCTTATTGTAAGATTATTGAAAAGAGAGCATATGACAAGATGACCCAAAGTAGAGAAAGGAGAGGAGATCAGTACCATGAGAGAGAGAGAGAGAGAGAGAGAGAGAGAGAGAAGAGATAGGTTAGGAAACTTTCCAGAGAAGAGAGAACAGAGAACAGAGAACACAGAGAGGCTAGAAAAGAGGTTAGATAGAGAGAGGAGAACAACAGTGTTAGAATAGAGAAGAGAAGGTAAATAAGGGGGGTGGGGGAGAGAGAAAAAAGTGACATAAGAGGCACACATTTGAAGGAGATATTAAGACCATTCTCATGCAGGTCCTGGTTATTTTTAATTCATATTACTTTCACTTGTTTGGAAGTCATCATTCATTCTTGACTGAACGCTACTTCAAAAGTGTTCCCAACTTGTGTCAATTGGCAATGGATGGTGAGACACAACTTTTCATTCTGGCGGCAAAGTCTAATTCTAGCTTCCCCACTAACAAGTATCTCTACTTGAGATTTGAGTAATAGGATAAACGGTTTCCTGCTTACGTAAACCATCCAAGGAGGCAGAGTTGTTGGGGTTGTTGATGGAGTTAAGGGAGGTGTTCCCATATCGGGCTTTCTTGTTTGCTGGTAGGTTATGGCCTGCAGCTATTGATTTGGAAAATGAAGAAAAAGAAAATCAATCTATCTGAGTTTGCAATCATCTGCTCTTAAATTTCCAGAGGTTGGTGAGATTCGTCCTCCTGCAGGGCAGTTGGGAAGAAGATTTTTTGGCAGATAGAGGAGTGACATATTTGGACGCATAGATAAGAGATAAATACCCTCCTTGGGCAGTGGTGTCATATGTCCCTTTTCTAGGCTTTGGGGTTGATCATTTGAATCTCTTTCTTTTGGTCCTTAAAAACTTTCTTATTAAAAATAAATATTTGCAATCTTGAGTAGCATGTGAATTTGCAGAGATTAATCCAATATCCTCTGATTTCTGGCCTTAAACCTGATATACATTTTTTACCATCTTCTAGTGGAAAAGAGAGCATCGCTGTATACTCATTTGATTGTAGCATTGAGGCTCTTTAAAAGCTGAAGAAGTGATAGATGCAGCTGATTTTGTCTCAGAAAAACACTGTTATCATCCATTCCCTTGTGATTTTTCTATTACTGGATTTCTGAAGCGGTTTGCCTGTGATCCTTGCAGGGAAGTTATTCTGCAAAAGCAGGACATTTGCCTTTCAGGTTAGTTACTTTATACATTTCTTTGTACGTATCATAATTTTGTGTGCTATTACCTGGAACTCAGCTAATTTTTTTCTGCTTGTCCAGATGTTGAACACAAGAGAGTGGCAGGGTTAAATGATTTTTCTTCTTTGAAGGAATGTGAATGCTGCCATGGTGGGGTGGATTTTGTGACTTTGGTATGTTGCTAGTTTTCCAAAAATGGGTCTTAATGCATTGTTGGGCATTCGAAGTAGAAATTGAGGTGAAGTGGGTTTGTCTACATATCCTCTTAGGTTGTGTTTGGATCTTAGATTTGTAAAGAGATTTATAGAGGGAACGAAAAAAGGGAGGGAAATGTGAATGAAGTATAATGTAAATTTTTTTTACTTTTTCCTTTTCTTTCCCGTCATTAATCACTCGTCAAATCCAAAATCCGAACACAACCATAGGAATTTACTTTTTTTTCTTCCTTTGAAGAATTATAATGTAATTGGTTGCTGCATAATTGGCATTAGAAGCTGTGGTTGCTTAAATTTTGTGTTTGGATTTGTGGAGGAAACGGAGAAGTGAATTAAACTTTATTTCTACTTCATTCATTTTTCCCTTCCCTTCACAAATCCCTCCACAACTCTAAGATCCAAACACATCCTAAGTACAAATGTTCAAATTTCTTAAGGAATATCAATCTGAATATTTAGATGTTTGATATGAGTTATTGAGTGAATTTCTAGATTATAGTTGAACAACTCATGTGAAATTCTATGTTTAATGTTTGTTCATCACTTTTTAAATTTGACCAATGAGTCTTTATTACTATTTTTCTGTAATGTTAGTTCTTAGCAAAACTAGGTGTTATGATTTTGTTGCCATGCATAAATATATATTACAGACTAATCATTCAAGAACTACTTAGATATTTGACAAACCAATCCATTTCCTTGGTATATTCAAGGCTGTTGATCTTTTTATAAATGAAATTCAGGACTTATTCACTGATGTCCTGCATGAATATTAAATAAAACTTCAAAGACCCTGAACTTGTGCCACCTCAAATCTGTTAGGAAGAAAAGAATATGATGAATTTTGAATCCTGATTTTTTTTTTTTTTGTATTTTGTGGCTGTCAGATATCCATGCTGTCAGCATTACCACTTCACAGGATGCCAACATCAATTGCAGCATGTTTCTCTGTATTGAAACCTGGTGGCCTACTTCTATTCAGAGATTATGGTAATTTCCCAACAAAAAACATAAATGTATATGAATTCATAGGATTTTGGTTAGGACTGTTTTCTTCAAATTTTCATAGGATTTTTATCTTGTTGCAGTAATTTAAAAAAAAAAAAAAAAAAAGTTCCCTTTTATTTTTTTTTTGCTTGATTTTGGATGAAAATCCTGAACCCTTACAAGTGAATTTATAAAGGTGAATTGTTGCTATCAAAAACATTTTAAGGATGGACACGTGAAACACTGAAATTCTTTTTCAGTTTTATTTACAGTACTATATTTGGAACTTGTTGAAATTATTAAGAGAGTGATGAAAACTCAGGCCTTTATGACATGACGATGCTTCAACTTGACCCAGTCATAAAATGGGATTCAAGGAGTACATGCGGTCTGATGGAACTCGTTCCTACTTTTTTTGTTTGCATAATGTTGAGGGATCTCTTTGTGGGTGCAGGCTTCACTGAGGTACTAATCTTGTTTCTATCAGTTTGATGTTAACATAGTAATGCCAACATAGGATGATAGATTTTGGGCTTAGTTTGGTGTAGCTTCTAGCAAGCTGAAAGCTGATAATTAGAAAGCAAATACTAAAATCGCGCCTCTCCGTGCTTCTTAGAATCAACTTTTTTCAGCTTCTTTAGGTTGTGTTTGAAGTATAAATTTGGGTAGGGATTGTTAAAATCCACTTACTCTCCACCTACTTCACCCACTTAAACCTACTCCACTAAACCTAACCCACTACACCACTACCACCTCACCTACTCCACTACACCTAACCCACTACACCACTACCACCTCCACTTCACCTACTCCTTACCTACTACACACTCACCCTCTTCTATATATAGGAATCATGAATCATTGTAATAGAAATAAAAATATATCAATCAATAATATACATCAATTTATTTTACATGGTATCAGAGCAGGTTTAGAACCTAATATTTTCGTTTCCCCGGCGGGCGGCAACCTCACCTTAGCTGCCCGCCGGACCTCAACCTAGTCTGCTAAAATTTTCTACACATACCTTAAAATTTCCTTTCTTCAACCTGCTGAGTGCACAAAACACATAGACACATACAATTCTCTCTCTCTGTGGTTTGATCAAGTAAAGATATGGCTGACGAAACCCAGAAACCGGCTGCTCCGGAGACCCCTGCTACTGTACCCCCCAAAACCCTAACCCTAGCCTCTCTTCCGTTCTCTCCACCACCAGCAGAAATGGCCCCTGCTCGCCCTCTCGTCTCCGTCCATTACACTCTGTCTCCTCCGGATTCTGTGGATCCAACTCATGGAATTGGGCGCACAAGAAAACGAAAACAACCAACCCTTGTTAATCTCAGCACCATACCAAGCAGAACAAGAAGCAGATCTCTACAACCAGCAACAAGAATCCAACAGTGGGAATTTGATCAGACGGACATGGGTAGAGTCAAAGAAGATGTGGCACATTGCTGGACCCTCCATTTTCACCCGCCTCGCCATGTTCTTCCTCACCGTCATCACTCAAGCATTCGCCGGTCACCTCAGCGATCACGACCTCGCCGCCATCTCTATTGTCACCACCATCATCATCGGCATCACCTTCGGCTTCTTGTTTTGGGACTGTTTTGCTACGTGGGTTGTGGTGGGTGTCCTCAGTCTTGGACTGTTTTTTCCGAACAAGCTTTTGTTGGGCTTTGGGATTTCTTCAAACTGTCTGTGGCTTCTGGGGTCATACCCTCGTTGGAGAATTTTTATTATAGAGTGTTGATTATAATCTCAGGGAATATGAATAATGATGAAGTGCAGTCAGTGGTGAGGTGCATTAAGAAGGACGTGAAGGGGGCACCAATGATGAAGACCCTCGAAACCCGGAGCCGTCCTTGCCGAGATGAAGGCTTCAGTTCTTGGAGAATATAATATCAACCCCACTCCACTTTCTTTTCTTTTATTATTTCTATGTATATGTTTATTCTCATCTATTCTTCAAAGCACACCCACCATGGTTTATTTATTACAACACCAATCCTCACCCGGCACCCCCATTCCTTTTTATTATTAGAGACCTGACTTGCACCTCCTCGGCCAACCCATTTCCCTTTTCTTCTTATTATTATATACACCTTTTCTATTCTCCATTATGCTCCACTCACCACTATCATCACATTTTCCCACTTTTTCACACCCACTTTAATCATATCCCTCCTTTCCCTTACTTTCTTCCACCCACGATTTCACCATTTTCTTTTCTTTTAATATATATATATATATATATATTTTTTATTAAAAAAAAACAAAAAAGCTAAAAAACATGTCGCCCTGTAAACTGAGTATGAAATTAAGTCCTAACCATGCTCTAACATGCCATTCAAGATAAATTAATTTCAAGTGCTCCATTTTTCATAGACTTTCAAAATAAAACATCCTAGGCATGGCATCTAACAAGTAGTAGCATCAAACATCCCATTTTCATGATTTTTGAAATTACCTAATATTGAAAATAAAGCACATACAAGGAACATCATAAAATTCCTCATCCAAGAATTCTCTTACACAATAACAAAATGCTATTAAAATTAAGAACACCCTAAACATGTTTACAAATATATTAGAAAATCCTACAGTTCACTACTTTTTACCACAAAATTAAAGAGATGAGATGAACGAGCAAAGTTTTACCCCCCAAAAAAAAAAAAAAAAAAAAAAAAAAAAAACAGTAAAAACACAGCCACATCCACAGGTAGAATTTTCTTCTCTACTCTGCTGCAGGTCTCTTCTTCTTGCCTCCGTCCTGAGCTGCTCTTGCCGGTGTTGCCTCCGTGTTTCCCCCTCCACTGGGCACGATCACTACTCCCTGCTCCTCCACTGCCGCATATGGTGGACCTCCAAATCGGAACATCACGGTGGCCTTCTGCTTCAGTTCCTTATTTTCCGCCTTTAGCACACTTATCTTTGCTCGCGCATCCTTATACATGCGTTGGAGCAAAGCCAGTTGGGCGTTTAAATGCTGCACCTCATTTGTCCTACTCTGCAGCCGGTGCGACAAGTTTGTGACCGCAGTCATGGTCTCCACACATGACTTCAGTGTATATTGATTGGCTTCAATATCTGTTTGCCCTGCCATTTTTTGCTCCACAGACCGCATCGGAAAGTTCAACGGAGCAAACCCTGGGGCGCTTGGTTGAGGTTCAGGGGCCACCACACCCGTTATTTCTCTTGTGGCCTCGTTAAGGTCGGGAAAGAGAGTGAGTAGACTACGGGACGACGAGGCCATTTTCTGGACAACAGGGTGTTACAGAGTATTACAGAGTTTCTCTCTCAGAGAACGAAAAGGTTTCAACTAGTTTGTTATGCTTCCAAGCACAGCCTCCGCCTCAGTTTATAAAGACCCTGACGAAGAGGCAGACACGCGCATCGCGCGCCACTTGACGCCAGACGACAAAACGGGCGCGCAAGCCAATGTGGTGACGCGCCTCGCCATCATGTCCGGCACATCTTTTTATGACTTGGGCTCGCCTTTTGATGGCACGCCTTTTGAAAAAT